AATATTGTCTTATATGTCGTTTAGTAGAAATTGTGTGTTTTTAATAAATCTCAAAATTATGTTAATATTATAAGAAGTTACTAGATTTCAATATTTGAATTCAAACGGTTACACAATTGTGCAAACTTCACCCTAGAGTCCATTAAAACTGTCAACTGTTTTAAATGGAGTCAAAATTCAAATTCAAAATTGTGCTCAAAGTGAAATATAAATATCTATTAATTATTGTAACAGAATTAGTAATAAATATGAATCTTTATAATAAATAAACTGTAGTGCAGTCTTACAATATTTTTTTATATGTCGTATAGTAGAAATTAAGTATTTCTAATAAATCTCAATATTATGTTAATATTATAAGAAGTTATAAGATTTCAATATTTGAATTCAAATGGTTATACAATTGAGCAAACTTCACCCTGGAGTCGATTAAGAACTGTCAACTGTTTTAAATGGAGTCAAAATTCAAATTCAACATTGTGCTCGAAATAAAATATGAATCACTGATAATTACAGTAATAAATAGAAATCCATTATAATAAATTAGCTGTAGTGCTATCTCACAATATTGTCTTATATGTCGTTTAGTAGAAATTGTGTGTTTTTAATAAATCTCAAAATTATGTTAATATAATAAGAAGTTACTAGATTTCAATATTTGAATTCAAACGGTTATACAATTGTGTAAACTTCACACTGGAGTCCATTAAAACTGTCAACTGTTTTAAATAGAGTCAAAATTCAAATTCAAACATTGTGCTCAAAGTGAAATATAAATATCTATTAATTATTGTAACAGAATTAGTAATAAATATGAATCTTTATAATAAATAAACTGTAGTGCAGTCTTACAATATTTTTTTATATGTCGTATAGTAGAAATTAAGTATTTCTAATAAATCTCAATATTATGTTAATATTATAAGAAGTTATAAGATTTCAATAGTTGAATTCAAATGGTTATACAATTGAGCAAACTTCACCCTGGAGTCGATTAAGAACTGTCAATTGTTTTAAATGGAGTCAAAATTCAAATTCAAACATTGTGCTCAAAGTTAAATATAAATTTGATTATTATTGTAACAGAATTAGTAATAAATAGAAATATATTATAATAAATTAACAGTAGTGCAATATCTCATAATATTCTTTCATATGTCGTATAGTAGAAATTAAGTATTTCTAATAAATCTCAATATTATGATAATATAATAACAAGTTACGAGATTTCAATATTTGAATTCAAACGGTTATACAATTGTGCAAACTTCACCCTGGAGTCCATTAAAACTGTCAACTGTTTTAAATGGAGTTAAAATTCAAATTCAACATTGTGCTCAAAGTAAAATATAAATTGACTGACAATTATTATAACAGAATTAGTAATAAATAGAAATTTATTATAATTCAATTTGCTCGTTAGCCGAGTCCCTTTTCTGTTTCTAGATTGATATTTGCTGGTCAGTTATAAATGATTTAATAAATTAATGCACACTAACGAGTTATCGTATTATAAATAATGCAGCGCGTCCAATATGAGCTAAGAAGTTTTACTTCAAATATAGGCATGTTGAGTATGAAATGAAAGGTCTCGACTAGCACTAATCAAATATCTTAGTAAGAAACTCAAAACACTAATCGGGTTCCATACAAGTAAAAAGATTCTAATTTTACAATTTGCTCGTCAGTAGAGTCCCTTTTCTGTTTTCTAGATCGATATTTAATTTGCTCGTCAGTAGAGTCCCTTTTCTGTCTTCTAGATTGATATTTAATTTGTTCGTCAGTAAAGTATTTTTTCTTATTCTTTCAGTATAGTTCTTATACTTTGCTCGTCAGTAGAGTCCCTTTTCTGTCTTTTAGATTGATATTTAGTATGTTAGTCAATAGAGTCATTTTTTTTATTCTTTCAGTAGAGTCCCTTTTTTTTAATTTTTAGTTTGCTCGTGAGTAGATTCCCTTTTGTGTCTTCAAAATTGATATACAATTTTCTCGTCAGTAGAGTCCATTTTCTGTATTTTAGATCGATATGTATTTTGCTCGTCAGTAGAGTCCCTTTCCTTATCCTTCTAATTTGCTCGTCAGTAGTTTTCTTTTTATTTTTTTCCAGTTTGCTTCGACAGTAAAGTTTCTCTTTCAGTTTTCTAGATCAATATTTAGTTTGCTTGTCAGTAGAGTCCTATTTCTGTCTTCTAGATCGATATTTTATTTGCTCGTCAGTAGAGTCTCTTTTCTCTCTTCAAGATCGATATTTTATTTACTCGTCAGTAGAGTCCTCTTTCTTATCTTTTCAGTTTGCTCGTCAGTAGTTTTTTTTTTCAGTTTGCTTCGACAGTAGAGTTTTTTTTCTGTTTTCTAGATCAATATTTTATTTGCTCGTCAGTAGAGACCCTTTTGTGTCCTCATGATCGATATTTTATTCCCTCGTTAGTAGAGTCATTTTCTTATTCTTTCAGTATAGTTCTTATCTTGCCAGTAGAGTTCTTATTTCTTTAATTTTTAATTTGCTCGTCAGTAGAGTATATTTTCATTTTCTTATGTAGTTTGCTCGTCAGTAGAGTTCATTTTTCCTGTTTACTTCAATAGTAAAGTCCTTTTTATCTCATTTTTAGTGGTGTCCCTTTTCCTTTTTCTTTTCTGTTTGCTCGTCAGTAGAGTCCATTTTCCTTTAACCTTTAGTGTGCTTTTTTGTCCCAGATCGATCGTCAGTAGAGTCTATTTTATTATTGAATAAAATTGAATAAATTGTCCATCGAGTCACTTTTTTTTTAATTTGCTCGTCAGTAGAGTTAATTTTTGCCTTATTTTTTTAGATTGCTCGTCAGTAGAGTCCCTTTTGCTTTATTTTTCAGTTTGTTCGTCAGTAGAGTCCTCTTTTACGTCCAATGAAATTAAACTTCAGGTTTTTATGAATAAAAAAATGAGTTTTGTTCGTTAGAAGAGTCTTCTTTTCACTCAGATATTTATATATATATATATATATATATATATATATATATATATATACATACATATCTAAAATCACGAATGCAATTGACAGATATCCCAGTTTTATTAATTGAATATACGCAGTCCACAAATTCTCTATTGTTTTCACAAAAACAATCCGAAAGCTTTTAGTGCGAGTCCGACTCGCTTTTTATGTCATTTAATTTCATATGACATCATTGCACTAAATTAGAAACGAAATCATTTACATTCAAAGGAGTGTCCTCCACCGTATCTCAAACAATTAGCTAAGTCACCACTTTTAAAAACTTCTAAGGAAAGTTTAATTAATGAGGTTAAATTAAATGTGAGTAAAATATTGCTTTGAAAACTAAAAAAAGAAAAGAAATTCTAGCAATTCAAAAACTTGAACGTGAAAGTATAGTTCCTTTTCTTGATGCACAAAAAATTACTAACATAAGCAGAAATAATCAAAAGCTACTGAGGGAAAATAAAAAAGGGACTCTACCGACAAGCAAAATGCAAAAATATTAATAAACATTATACTGCCAAACAAACTAAATGTGAAAATTAATTATAACCGAAGAAAAAAGGTACTCTACTGACGAGCAAATTAAAAAGGAATTAAAAAAGGACTCTACTGACGAGCGAATTAAAAAGAAATTAAAAAAGGACTCTACTGACGAGCAAACTGAAAAAAACACAGATTACATATGACCAGTCAATAATTTACGTGTTACAATAGTAGAGTCCTTATTTAATTTTCCCTTTTTAAAGTTCCTTTTTATCTTCGAGATCTATAATCAATTTGCACGTCAGTAGAGTCCTTTTCTTCTGTTCTACAGAATAGATTATTATTGATTTAGAAAATAAAAAGAGACTCTACTGACGAGCAAATTAAAAAAACAGATTGAAAAAGAACTTTACTGACGAGCAATATAGAAGAAGAAAAATTAACTCTACTGGCGAGCAAATAAAAAAACAGATTGAAAGAGGACTCTACTGACGAGCAAATTAGAAAAACAGATTGAAAGAGGACTCTACTGACGAGCAATATAAAAGAAGAAAAAGGGACTCTACTGACGAACAAATTAAAAACGATTGATTAAATTAAAAAAGAACTCTACTGACGAGCAAATTAAAAATAGAAATTGAAAAGAACTCTACTGACGAGCAAAATAAAAACAGATTGAAAAAGACTCTACTGATGAGCAAATAAAAAAACATAATTAAAGAACTCTAATGACGAGCAATATAAAAGAACAAAAAGGGACTCTACTGACGAGCAAATAAAAAACAGATTGAAAAAGAACTTTACTGACGAGCAAAATAAAAACAGACAAAAAAAGAACTCTACTGACGAGCAAATAAAAAACAGATTGAAAAAGAACTCTACTGACGAGCAAATTAAAAACGGATTGAAAACAACTCTACTGACAAGCAAACTTGCAAAGAAAATTGCAAAACAAACTCAACTGCGTAGAATATTCAATAAGTAGCAAATTAATAAAAAATAAACTACTAAAATAAAAAGAGTAATAAATAGGGCAATTCTGCCGTAACAAAGTTTATAATATGCCTATCTGTTTGCGGTACGATCAGGCGTATTTTACATATAAACAAAACAAGAAAGAATGTTACAAGAACATAATCTTCGATGCTCTTTTATCACTGACAAAGTTTTGACGTTATGAACAAAAGGGACTCTACTGACGAGCAAAATACAAAAACAAGAAAAATAAGATCCATTGAAGTCCCTAACTTGCCGATAAGCATAACTTTCATTTTCTCTATGTATTTCTTTACGGCGGAGATCGCTCCACCGCACGTAGTACACTACACTTCCGCGACATCGAACTTCATCATGACAAATTCTCATCTGGCAATAATTCAGTCCCGAGGACGAGGACTAGTCGTTCGGGACTAATCGGGGCGATTTTAGTCCCACAAACGTATTTGTCACTCTTATTTTCTTTTATTTCGTATAAAAGAAATAATAATAATGATGATAAATATTGTAGTTTTTCTTTGTTTTATTTATTGTTACTACTGACCTCTTTCCAAATATTGTAGTGACTTAGAAAACAGCCTATTTCACCCATTGTCATCGGCCTGAAAAATAAAATTATTATAAAAAGGAACTCTACTGACGAGCAAATTTTAAAAGAGAACTAAATATACTTTAATCAGATAAAATCAGGTAAAATATGATAAATTATTGTTACTTAGTATTAAATATTCAAATAAAAAGAAGAAAAATTTTCTACGAATAATCTAAATATCTAAAATCTAAATATCTAACTAGTGGGGCGCATGGCATCGTGCCTTAAGGCAAATTGCTGGAACTTCCCGTACCAAAAATTATTTTTTTTTTGAAAAGATTAACATTTTTTAAAAAAATTTACTCTAAAAAAAATAGATTTTTGAGGAACTATATAAATTTTTGACAAAAACTTACTTTTTGTTGAAAAATTATTTTGAAATATTTTGGAAATTCTGAACTTTTTTTCAAAGCAATCGTACTGCTTTAATGCATAGAGACTAAATATCGAAGCGCGTAAGCGCCGCGTCGCTGTCTAACGCATAAGCATTGGTACGGACCCATAGGAATGTTAACAAAATGTATACTCATTGTTAAAATCTCTATAAAATATCTGATAATTTGATGTGCATATGTCTAATGTCTAATGATTATTGTTGACCGCCAAATGTTATTTTTTTTTACTTTTTTACTAGATCTCTGAAACCGCTAGACCTAATTTCATAAAAATTTCATCAAATCTTCATCTTGATAATGCAAGTAAAATGTTTTTGAATTATTCAAATTGCTTCATCCCGATTCCCGAAATCGTCGACGAAAATTGTATCTGAACACACACAAATGCACGCACACACACACATACACAACATACATCAATTTTCTCTAAGGTATGCCAATATATTCAGAACCTTTGAAACGTAAAGTTATATAAAAATTTTCATTTTCGATTTTTGTGCGATTACTATAACTTACCCTACGGAAAGTTAATTATAAATAAATCAATTTATCACCTCCAGAACATTAACAATCGTCATTTCATTTCGAATCAAATTTCAAAAAAAAAAAATAGTTGCCAAATTTCCACAAAATTGAAAAAGTGCTCCAGCATAGTCACAGTCTAAACGCATTTGCAAATAATTCTGTGCGATATTTTCACTTATACTGTGCTCAGCTTGGCGGCATTTTCACATTTTTCAATAATTTTCACAAAAATTGGAAAAGTGCTCTAGTACACAAACAGTCTAAACGCACTTGGGTAAACATTTGTACCAGAGTGGCGCTTAGACTGTGCTTAGCTTGGGTGTTTTTTGAATTTTTTAGTCCAAAATTACAAAAAATTTTTTTGAAAAAAATTAGAATCAAAAATTTTTTTTTTCCAAAATCAATTGTTTTGTTGAAAAAAGCAGAAAGTTCTTTGATTCATTTAAATCGGACGCTTAGTTCTCTCAAAACAGCCATTTTTTTTAAATTTAGCTCTGTAACTCCGAAACCTCTGGGCCTACCTTTGCCAAAAACTAATCAGCACATCTCCCTATCAATAGGAATCGAATGTTTTTTAAACCATTCAAATCGGTTGATCCGTTCTCTCAAAAATTCGCTTTCTATTTTTTGCACTCTTTGCTCCATATCTCCGTAACGGCTGGACCTGCCTTTGCCAAAACTAATCAGCACATCTCCCTATCAAAAGGAATCGAATGTTTTTTGAACCATTCAAATCGGTTGATCCGTGCGCCCGAAAACGTTGACGAAAAATTGCGGACATACAAAACACACACACAGACACACACATCCATTTTTTCTGAAGTATGCCAAAATGTTCAGAAACCTTCAAAACGTCGAGAAATGTAAAAATTTTGATTTCGATTTTTGGACGATTACTATAACTTACCCTACGGGAAGTTAAAAGAGTAAAAGTTTGTTTCTAAGAAAGGGCTCTACTGAAAAGCAAATGTATTAGAGAAATTAACAATTAAAAAAATATTTTTTAAATTAGTTAATAACACTATTTACAAAAATAAATCAGTAGTTAAAACTTAAAAACGTAAAAATTATACATTTAGAATTTAAAAGAAACTTTACTGACGAGCAAATAGATTTTCCTGTTTCTGGAAGTTATATTATATATAAAAAACAAGGTTTGATAACAGGAGCATGTCACTTACAAAAAAGGAACTCTACTGACATCTTATCTATTTATTGTGATTCTTTATTAAATAGAATTAGTATTGAATCAATACATACCTTTTATGATAAGGGTCAATAAATTCGGGCATAAAACTTATACCCAATTCGACCAGGCAACTATCGTTCAGGGACCTGTAACAAAAATATAAAAAAATTATTATCAACAAACTATATATTAGAATAATAACACATTAGCCATACAATGAATAATAATAACAATTCGAAATATTATATATCTTAAAAAAAAAATTTAGTAATTTCAGTTTTTGGTTAAATGTACAAGATCGCTCCACCGTATGAACAAATTCATCTCTTGCATCTTGTGTAACTTTTAAACTATTCGAGCAAATGCAATAGTTTATTTGACGAAATTGTAATAAATTTAATAATCTGAAACATTGTCTAACAACAAAAGGCTCTAGAACAACTCGGTATACTCATAAAATCTAATTTTATGATTTGATTAAAATGTTTAATTAAGTCGTGTATTCAGACTATAAATTTATTAAAATTAATTCGTTACTTTGGATAAGTTTTTTTTAAAAATAGTATATATATGTATATATATATATATATATATATATATATATATTTTTTCACCAAAAAACAAATCAATTTCTCGTTGTTCGTTCGTTCTGAATACAAAACACTTCGGTAAACAAATCACCTGAACAAAAAGGAACAGATATTGTTTTTAAATTAGTTTGATATATTCTGAACGCGTTGGAAAAACGTTCACAAAAAAACAATTGACTACACACACACACACACACACACATAGATAAATTGCGATTTTTTATACGACTTTTCTATTTTTATTCTAAAAGTTTCAGTATCCCATAAATCATAATGTAAAATAAAATACAACGACACGTTTACGTTTCGACACCACATGTTCGCTATCAATTAATACAAAAATCGAAGTTGTGCAAAATCTTGATAAAACATAAAACTAATACAAAAAAAATTGAAAAATTAAAATTTTAAAATATGTAATATATTAGGTTGTCAAATATCTCCCTTCCGCCCTTTTGTATTATAAACCAATAGCAAAAAAGCGGAAGGGAGATATTTGACAACCTAATATTAAAAAAATTCGATTTTATCGTGATGAGAATATGCCAACAAAATTGTACGGTGGAGCGATTTGTATTTGCTCCACCGTACAATTCATTTTTCATTCGAAATGTTGGATGAAAGATGTAATTATATAACAAAAAGTTTATTCAGGAATTTGTGGTGTACCACATGTACCACAAATACCACTTCAATTGCTTTGAAATACATTTACAAATAAATAAAAAATGTAGCAGAAATATTATATGAGTGTATAAGAGAAAGTTAATATTCTAAGTTTTTAATATAGATTTTAAGGTACACCGAGTTACTGTAGGTTCTTGTGGTTAAAGACAACATTGTTCGTAATTTAATTCTGCACAAATTCCTCATACACACCATTCACACAAATCGAATGGTTTAGAAGTTACAAGCGTTGAAACAAATAAAGTGCACCAATTATACTGCATTCCATACCAAGATATCTTCGTGCGCAATATGTGTGAAGTCTCAGAAAAAGTTGAAGTTTGTATTAAAACAAGTATACTTATGTTTTTAGAATATTTATTCTTATTTGAATGCGATTTTGAAGTATACCGAGTTGCTGTAGAGCATTGGGGTTAGAGACAGCATTGTTCATAATTTAATTCTGCACAAATTTCTCATACACACCATTCACACAAATCGAATGGTTTAGGAGTTACAAGCGATCAAACAAAAAAAGTGTATTCGGTATACTGCATTCCATACCAAGATGTCTTCGTTCGCAATATGTGCAAAGTCTTACCAAAAGTTGAAGTTCGTATAGAAACTAGTATATGTTTGCCCTTAAAATATTTATCTAGATTTAAATGCGATTTTAGAGTATATGGAGTAGTTGAAGGGCATCAAGGTATTAGACAATTTTGTCAGTAGTTGAATTCTAAACAAATTTGTCATACACACCATTCACACAAATCGAATGGTTTAGAAGTTACAAGCGTTGAAACAAATAAAGTGCACCAAGTATACTGCATTCCATACCAAGATATCCTCGTGCGCAATATGTGTGAAGTCTTAGCAAAAGTTGAAGTTCATATGAAAACTAGTATATTTTTGTCTTGAGAATATTTAGATTTATTTATTTAGATTAATATCTAGATTTGAATGCGATTTTAGAGTATACAGAGTAGTTGTAGGGCATCATAATGTTAGACAATTTTTTTATTAGTTGAATTCTAAACAAATTTGTCTAATACGACATTAATGCTAAACGAATGGTTATAAAGTTATAGGTTATATAATAGATAAATGCACTTTTACTATGTTTCAACTTTGAGTCTGTTTGAATATTTATTATAATTACACTGCTTGTACTAGAGTATTGTAATTTGAGTAAATTACTCTTCAATGCATATACTATTGCAACAAAGACTAAAACTGATGAGTTTTCTTGCAAAATTTGGAAATATTAACAATTGTTTGAATAAAGTACACAAACTACTTTATACACGTAGAGAAAACATTTTGTAGTTGCATTAATTTTCAAAATTATACTATTTGCACTAGAATGTTGTAATTTGAGTAAGTTACTCTCCAATGCATATACTATCGCAACAAATAATAAAACTGATGAGGTTTCTTGTAAAATTTTAAAATAATAACAATTCTTTGAATAAAGACACCAAACTACTCTGTACACGTGAAGAAAACATTTTGTAGTTTCACGAATTTTTAAAATTACACTATTTGTACTTGAATGTTGTAATTTGAGTATGTTACTCTTCAATGCATATACTATCGCAACAAATACTAAATACTGATGAGTTTTCTTGCAAAATTTTTAAATATTAACAATTCTTTTACAGAACTACTTTGTACACGCGAAGAAAACATTTTGTGGTTTCGCTAATTTTTAAAATTACACTATTTGTACTAGAATGTTGTAATTTGAGTATGTTACTCTTCAATCCATATACTATGATAACAAATACTAAAATCGATGAGTTTTCTTGTAAAATGTTAAAATATTAACAATTCTTTGAACAAAGTACACAAACTACTTTGTACACGTGAAGAAAACACTTTGTAGTTTTACTAATTTTTAAAATTACACCATTTGTACTAGAATGTTGTAATTTGAGTAAGTTACTCTTCAATGCATATACTATCGCAACAAATACTAAAACTGATGAGTTTTCTTGTAAAATTTTAAATATTAACAATTCTTTTACAGAACTACTTTGTACACGCGAAGAAAACATTTTGTGGTTTCGCTAATTTTTAAAATTACACTATTTGTACTAGAATGTTGTAATTTGAGTATGTTACTCTTCAATCCATATACTATGATAACAAATACTAAAATCGATGAGTTTTCTTGCAAAATTTTGAAATATTAACAATTCTTCAAACGAAATATCCAAACTATATGAGCATTCATTTTCATACAAATTTATTAAATTCGAATGCGCAGAATCGTATATATACATATATATATATTGTGTGTGTATATATATATATATATATATATATATATATCTGTATGTATAATCTTAACACGAACGGTTTTGTTCAGTACGTTTCGAACTTTTACTCAGTTCGGACAAAAAAATTTTAAAAATTAAATAAAAATATAAGAAAAACAATGAAGTACGTCAAAAAATAATAATTAATATCCTCATTAATTATATTGTTGATTAAATAAATAAAAAAATTAATATATTTATAATATTAAAGTGGAATAAATATATATAAAAGTGACTAAAAACATATAGTGGTATGTGTTTTTAATAAATTACATTCGGACAATTTGTTTTTAAAAATTAATGAAAAATGTACAAAACCTAATTAGTAATTATAAATTAGTAAATATATAATTTTATTAATTATATTATTGATATAATAAATAAAAATTGGATATAAATAAGTATTGAAGTGACAAAAAATTACCTAAAAAGTGGCTAATAAAATATACTGATAAGTGTTTAATAATTAGTTTTTAGACGAAATATTTTTAAAAATCAATTAAAAATATACCAAAAATATTATAGTTATGCAAAAAATTAAAATTGACATCTTTATGAATTATATTGTTAATATATAAAATAATATTTAAGTATAAATATTTGTAATAAAGTAGAAATAAATAAAAGTGACAAAATAAAATAAACTGATGATACTTGTTTATAAATAGTTTTGGGACAATTTTTTTTTTTGACAAAATTTGATTAATTACTCAAAAAATAATAATAAATAACATTATTAATTGAAGTTTTATATTTTAAATATTAAACTTAAATATAATATTTATTATATAAATAAATAAATAAAAATAAAAATATATAAATATGGAAACGAGTGCTTAGTAAATGTAAAAGTGTTTAATTTTGTTTTTATGAATTTAATAAATAAAAGTGTATAAATAAATTGTTTATATTTATGTGCCAAATTGTTGCAAAATAGAATAGAATTATGTAATAATAAACAATATTTTGTACAATTTTATGTGAAAGAATCAATTTCCTTCAATTAATTTGCTTTAAAAACAAAGTTATTAAATTGAAACTAAATTAACAAAAACAATATTAATAAATTAACAAAATGTGTAGAAAGTGCAGTTTATATTTTTGCAAAAATGCAATTTTAAATTTGTTTATATATTTATAAAGGTAAGTACTGAATCGAATAAGGTTCAAATTAATTTTTCACAAAAAAACAAAAATAGTAAAAATTTTATATTAAACCTGTAATTGAACGTTTGGAACTAATTTTATATGTAAATAATTTTATTTCTAATTTCTTACAAATATAATTTAGGTTGTAAAAGTTAAAAAGATTTAAAGTTAAAGTAAAGTTAAAAAAACGAATTTTTTAAAACTTAAATTAAAATTAGAATACTTTTGAAAATTGTAGGGCACTTAAAAAAAACTTTGTAAAACTTAAAGATATTATCAAATTTTACAAAATCAAGGAATTATTATTTTACGAAATAGTAAAATGTTCCTTAATTATTAATAATTAACTCAATTTGTTTAATCAATTTTTCTTTTACAACACTTAAATTTTTTTACACTTATTTTATATTTAATATACGA